TGAAGAATGACTCCTCTGTCCACCGAAAGGAACAATGGTTTTCTCATACACTTGGGGATTTTCCTTCGAAGACTGTGGACGACTCCCTGAATGATTTCAGGAATGAATATTTGTTTTCTCATTTTGGCTTTCTTTCCAAATGTAATATGTGTTTATTGTAAAAACTTTAGTAGGTATAGATAGGCAAAATGAATCAAGACAAAAATCACCCAGAATCTAACCAAAATTACTTTTTAGTGCATATATATAATAAATATAAATAAAATTTTATTGTGCTGACATTTTACCAAACCAGTTCCTTGTTGGACATTTAGGCTCTTGTTATTTTTCTTGGTATAAATACTACTCCCAAAATTATCCCTGGAACTGGACATCTTTTTGTTTATTTGTTTAGGTTTTATTTCATAATCATAAATTTAACTTTGCAATCAAGCTACACTTGGAGGGGAATAAGGAAAATATGGAACCCATAGAACTGCAGTGAAAGCACAAAGATTATAGGATATTTCTAGTCGATGGGGGTGAAGGGATGCCCTCCTGAGCTACAGAAGGAATGGGCTGGTGGTTAAGATAAAACACAAGCCAAATTATTAGATTTGTCCACAATCAGCACTGGTGATCTTCTTGCTGTGTTGCCATTACTGGACCCAAAGCAGTCTATACTTCCAAATATTCATGCTCTCTTTCACTTTGCCAAAAACCACATGCCGACCACCCAACCATTCAGGTGTGGCAGTGCAGATGAAAAATTGAGAACTGTTTGTGTTGGGTCCAGCATTTGTCATGGACAAGATACCAAGACCTGTGTGATCCAGAATGAAATTCTCATCATCACATTTCTCCCCACAGATGGACTTGCCATTATGGATTATGAAGTCAAGTCACCTGGCACATAAATCCTGGAATAATCCTGTGACAGCAGGAAAATTTATAACCAAATCCTTTCTCCCCAGTGCTCAGAGCATGAAAGTTTTCTACTATCTTGGGAACTTTGTCTGCAAACAGCTCGATGGAGATTTGACCCAAGAGCTTGCCATCCATAGCAATGTTGAAGAACTGGGTGGAATTGACTGTGGCTGGGAGGCTCAGGGGGCTCCGGGTGGTGGCATCTGCAAGGCTAAAATCAAATATCCTTAATGATTTTCCTAAAATAAATTACTAGATTTTATAGATATATAGATAGATGATAGATAGATAGGGAGGTAGACGGTAGGTAGACAGATGATAGGTAGATAGATAGAATAGACAGATAGACACATACACACATACACTGGGTTAAAAAGGATATGCAGACCTTACAGATTGTTGCTTTTCTGAAAAGTTGCACCAAATCCCATACCTGTTCCCATGGTGGGTAAGCATCAGAGGAAACATAGTCAAAAGGGTCTCACATGCATACAAGAAACAAATTGTGGTGAAGGTAATGCTCCATCAATTTCCTCAGACTTTACTTCAAGAGATTCCCTATATCTAGCAAGTTATTTATAAATTTGGCAACTATGGTAAATTTATACTCAGAGGGAACTATCTAACCTTTGGGCCATGTGTGCTATTCAGGTGACTCAGATTCTACAGTAATTTTATTGCTTTTATGTTGCCAGGTGATATAATAAGCTGTTTTGGTACAATCTCTGAGGGAATTTCCAGTCAAATTGAAGGGTTTGGAATATTATAGACCCACCATGTGAGCTATAAATATAAATAAACTAGGGTAGAAGGTGATTTATTTTGCTATTTCCTCTGGAAAATGGCAATGTCTACTATTAAAGACTTTACAAACCAGGGAAAACTTTGAGTCACTCAAACTTCAGCTCTGGGGTGGGATGACTGAGGGTCACAGGGACCTGTCAAAGCCCCCCTTGGGTGAGTGGAGAGGCTGAGTCAGTGTTGGAGGAGACAAGACCCCAGCACCTGGGCAGGGGTAGCAGAGGAGGAAGAGGGGGCCAAGGACAGAAACCAGCAAAGCATGGGTTTTCATGTTAGATTGACCTGAAGTCATATCATAATATGCCTTGGGCATATTACTTAACTTCTCTGAGCTTTGACTCTGTACAGTGGAGACAAGCAACACTTCCTAGGAATGCTGAGAGATTTCCGTGAAATAATATGTGTAGAAACTAAGTATAGTAACTGACCCATCGAAGGAACTCAATAAATGGTTGCTATTGTCACTATCATGATTAATCATTATTATTGTTGTTGCCTTGAGGATAGACTTAAGAAAAAGAGGTGCTTATACCTGATCATTATGCCTCTTGTTTGGATTTTCTCTTTCAGGGGCTCTTAATCTGGTGCCCAAGAATTCCCAAGAGGCCCAGGGATAGATACCTGGGAGAAGGCGTGTTAAACTCCAGAGAGAAAAAAAAAAATGTCAATGTTTTACTAACCTGTAAGGAAAATATAGTATTTCCTTTGTTATGACTACATGAAACAATTCACAGTAGTATCAGCAATGCTGATCATGCTTTGATTAACGATACAAAGCATATATGATTATAAACAATATATAAATTATATGTTACTTCCATATCAAAAGTACAGTTGCTAGGCCCACCCCCTAGACCACTGCCTGCCTTCCTGTCTACAGAGGCTGGTGTGATGGAGCTGGCTGTCAGGTAAACTGTATTATAATTTTCAAAAATATTTTGATAAAAATATCACAATATTTTATCAAAAACATTTTGATGAAATATCACAATTCGATTAAAGATCATGCTTTATTTTATGCACTTTTAAATGGCATTCTTCAAAGAAGTCCGTAGTCTTCATAGGACTGCCAGAGGGAGACAGAAGCACAGAAAAGATTAGAACCGTTCCGTTGGGAAGCCACTGTAGGGCACCCAGCACACAGGAGGGACTCTGCTGTCCAACAGCCCGAGAAGCTCCTTTATTAACTCATCTATTTCCCAGGCCAATAAACACGAAAAGCAGAAAACTTCTGAAGATAATTCCCAATAGATCAGGGAATCCTGTCTCTTGAAAGGGCCCAACTCTGTTTAACAGATATAAAATATCAAGGGAGAAAATGTCTGTTACCCTCCCCAGGAGCCTGATGCCTCGGGCATCCAGTAGAAAGGACCTAAGTGGTGTAATGACCCCAAGGTAATGGCACAGCAACAGCAATGCACGGAGAACAGAGAAACGTAGAAGAAGAAGGAGAGGATGAGGGAGAGAAAGTGGGATAAAAAACCCAGAAGACACAAAACCCTAAGCAATAAGGGCTGCACACCCCTCAGGCTGTAAAATATATATATATATATATATATA